CGGCCGATGTCTTTCCGCACAATGAAGGCCTTAATCAGGGGAGAATTCAAGACCTCGAGGTGCAACGAACTTAAAGCTCGAACAAAGGAGAAACAGTGGACAGTGGCACTCTCTGACATAGCCGACTGGCCAAGAAACGAGGCCGTTGTTGAGTTTAGACTACGTACCGGACACGATTGTTTGGCAAAACACCTTCACTGATTGGGAGTATACACTCAACCCACATGCCCCCTATGTAACCTACAGGAGGAAGTGGAGAAGACCCATCTGATTCGGTGTCCAGCTCTAAAGACAACGACGGAAAGCCAGAGATACTGGGAAGCCCGAAGACAGCTAATGAACTGCTATATATGCACCCCCCACCCATGGGGAAAGCTGAAGTCAAAGTTCAAGGGCTAATAATAAATATCATAAAGCCTGCCATTTGAAAAAATATAAATTAGGACAAATTTTTAATAAGTCAAGGATAATTGTTTCCATCCCACATTATACGGCGCTGGTTCCAACCGGTTGACGATTTGGCGTGATAAGATACTCTTCATAAAACTTTTCCTCTCTTCAAAATAAGTGCCCTAAAGACCTCCTCTTTACGATATCCGGAAGATTTGAATATAATTAACTTCCAATAAGTTGGACTTTACACAGAAAGCTAGTTGTGACCTAGGCGTCTACTCTATAGGATCTTCCGGATTCTTTTCCCGTAATCCTCCCCTCCCCTCCTTTAGTTCTTTTACAGCAATTTGAATTCTCTCTGGTAAATTGTATCATATCTCGCCCGATGTAGCCACGATCTCTACTACACCCAGTGAGTGACTTTCGCCAGCGAGTTGAGAATGCCACTATCGTCGGGACTCAGTCGACCACTTCCAATGTTCCTAGACCGTCTCTGTACATAAATATCAATGCATACAACCACCATGGCCCTGATCTTCCATGGTCACATATGCAGCCTTTCCGCTTCGTCTACTTCGATGAAGTTTTTTAAGAGTTGACTCCATAAGGATGACGAAGCAAGTCCACAATTTCACCTCAAATGAGCTTCAATCCCTTATTTGGAGAATTTTGCTTTGCTACTCTGTTGGCTAGAGTAGTTATGAATCGCCATATTGTAAGTAGCAGAACGTTTGATGAACTGTATCGCAGTGACAGGGCGAGTCCAAGTGACCACTCTCACTCCTTTTTACTTGCATGCTATCTATGATTAATACCAATAATACCGCAAAATCTCGTGGCAAACACTGGCTTATCAAAATTGTATTCTTCAATCTATGATCACCTAAAAGGCTAGACAATTGTTAAGTTCACGACTTCAAAAATATAAAACATTTCGTGCTCCTACTGAAATAGTCTAAGTAGTATGACCATTCAAAGTAAAACTTGATGAGATAGAATGGGCAAGACCCGTAATGGGGAGTAATAGAAGAATTGATGCAATGCAAGTGTCTTGTCTGGGCGTGCCTCTACTGTGCTACTGGTTATTGAAAAAATTCCCTTAATGTATGTATACATACAAAAATAAGAAGACACCAAAGCTTTGCCGACAGTATGTAATAATGACGACAAAAGAAAATGAACGAAGGCGCAGTAAAAGGTTAAAAACAAGTTCCCTGATATGATTCAAGAGGAATTACAAAAAAATATTTAGAGCGAAGTATTTAATGCTAATATGATTTAAGTAGTACGTGTTCATTCATGTTGATGGAATGGGGATAATGGGGAGCATCACCCAATCTACTAAGAAGAAGTATTCACCAGTGGAGGGGGCTGTGATTGCCGTTGCTAGTGGGCGGTGTCTTGCGATTTCTCTTTTCCTTGCTTTGCTTTGAAATCGGAGATTGCTGCCTTAACAGCATCTTGTGCCAACACTACAACAAAAAAATTTAAATCAGAAAGCTTTATTATTACCCGATAAACCAACATGTATGCTTCAATAGCATTCCATCCCCAATATGATATCAAACTGTGCAAGCATCAAGCAACTTTACTTAAAAGCACTTCATAAAGTAATCATAAAAAGGCATTGCTTTTTTAAAATATGGTGATGCTAATTTAGTGATTAGATATCATCTAGGCCATTTCCCGACATTCTAGGGAGTAAACTACATTCATGAATTGACACAGTATTTAACTCCAGTGCAACAGACTTCTCCATGTCAATTCCAGCTCATTTACTCCTTCTACTCAGATGCATTTATCCGCTTACCATGGAAAATGTGTCCTTGCATTCTCGTTATTTGACCCATTTCCTTTCTATCTTGTTATCGGTTATAATTAGACAAGTTAATTGGCAACACGTTATAGCAAAATTTGCCGACATAATTTGGTCGACCCTCAATGGCTCCTAGAAATACACCCATACCGAATGAAATTAAGAGAAGAGGAGGGGAGACATAATTCCTATTAGTTACCTTAAATGAAATTATGGGAGTCCATTATAGGAAAATTTAACATCATTTAACGGCTATTAATTAGCAACAAGCGGTGATCTCATGCGCATTTAAAAATCTGCATAAGTCAATGAAACAATAAAGTAAATGTAACGAGAAAAATTCAGACCAATTTTAAATAACTACAAGAGTTTACTTAATAGTTCACCTTCGATTAGAAGTTAGAGACACATAGCAGAAAAGTTCAGATAACTGCAAAGTCGATGTGGGGAGTATAGAAGACAATAGAAAAACGGGCATCCCGTTATTATTTGCAGCCATTGAGGATTGATTAAACGATAAATCAATCGATTAGTGACAATTGATTTGACTGTGACATGACCTACTATATTTAATCGTAAATAGATTATTACGTATTGTACCCTTATAGCAGTCCTGAGTTGATTAACGTTTTGCATGGCTATCTTGACACGCCTAAGTAAACAACAGCTGATAATCGGTCGCACAAACGCGATAATAACTAGAGATAAATAATCACAATAAGCCAATCAAAAGCATACTACTGACTGTTATTTAAGTTGCATTGTGAAGATAGAGCCAGCAATGTCTGAGGATCACGTGATACAATAACCTAGATTGCGGACATAAAAAACTCAAGGGCGTTGTCATATTATCTTAAGGTGAAGAAATTAACATTAACATTTCTGCTCTAATTCTTAATTAAAACGGACGATTGTACTTTACTCAAAGCCAACAGATTCTAATACTAAATTACGAATCATTGTTAGTGCCTGCAAAGCGATTAGAAATGAACTAAAGGAAAAATATGAAAAGGTTAAAACGAAATTAGATATACACAAGGAAATGTGAAAACAATAAAGTGAAGAAAGTGGCCAACAACAGATTAAATATACAAGCAAATCGATAAATCTAACGACTTACTAGAACAATGCAGTTTAACAGGGGGAAGACGAAGCTCTTTAGCAATATCTGTGTTCTTGATATTAGAAGCCTCGTCGAGAGTCTTGCCCTTTATCCACTCCGTAGCTAGAGAACTGGAGGCAATAGCAGAACAGCAACCAAAGGTCTTGAACTTAGCATTGACAATACGGTCTTCGTCATCAACCTTTCATAAAAGTTTACAATAAGTGAGACGAAAAATTTAAGGACAAAAAGAAAATCATAAAGGCAAGATTAAAAGCTTATATAACAATAAACAAAGTTAATCGTACTTCAATCTGCATCTTCATCACATCACCACATGCAGGGGCTCCTACAAGACCAGTTCCGACATTTTTCTTATTCTTATCAAGATTTCCAACATTTCTTGGATTTTCATAATGATCAATAACATTCTCATGATAACGAGCAACGGACAACTTGGTAAGTGAACCAAAGTTGGTCCGGAGCAAAGTCTGCGACAATCTAGGTAAAGCACTCATTTGTGTAGGTCAATGAAATATAGCTCTCAATGGCGCGCCTTATAAAGGTGGCAAACATAAACGCGGTAAATATTAATTAATCAATACCTCTGTTAAAAGTAAATTTGATTAATATAAATTTTTATTTAAGTTCTAATAAAAACTTGATATTCTTACAATTAAGAAAAAACTTCTGAACACAATAATATTAGTTAAAATTATTTTGCCGTAAGTATATGCAGATTAATAGCTGTTATAATTTAACTCTAAATTAGTATTTAGTGACAAATCTAAACACTTACTGTATTACTTTGGTATTCCTCCCATTTTATACAATATATTAAGTGCAGGAACTACTTAGATCAATATTCCCATATTTTGGATTCGATGGAGTTTGTGATAACAGTGCAAATATAGGTATGACTTTGAGTGCTTGGCTCAATCAAATTAAAAGCATAATAGCTTCATATTATATTTAAGGAATATCTATGGCCTTTTATGGATATAAAGCTTACTCTAGTTTAGAATTATATATATCCAATATAAGTCTGTCCGACTACCTTATTCATGCATATTTTGACTTAAAAAATGTACTCATTTCTTAAAGTTAATATCGTTAAATGAAATGAAGATTACGTGAAGTAATTAATTTCAATTAATTCAGTAATTTTTTATAAAAGTCGTCAATTAATTGAGTATGTGGTTCACTAAGGAAATTGAAAAACAAATGATTTCGGAATAGTTTCCTCCAAACTATTTATATTGCTCTTTGCCAAGCTGTATTTCAAAGACTGGTTCGGATTGCGTTTAATTTTACTGCCATATCAATTTAATATACTGCGTGATTATAATCCATGAAAATATGTGATCACTGTCTAAATGACTTTTTACCCTTCCAGCAATCTAAACTCTAAACATAACTCCGTGAAAATAGAGAGAGTTTGACGGACTTTAATTTCCGTGGTATACCCAATAGTTTGTTTATTTGTTAATATTTAAATACGGATAAAAATATATTTTAAGACAAAAATTGGTAGATAATTATATTCCGCTAAGCTAAATAAAATACTCGAGAATATAAGTGAATTACTGTTTAATGTAATAGCATAAGGTACTACATGTGCGCAAATACCTCAACTTGATTTTTCGATATTTCCAGATTTAATTATTTATGCTCCTCACCACCTCATTTTAGTGAATCTAATTTATTTAATAGGTTGACTGAATAAGAATTGTATATAAATTAGAAGTAACGCTATTTCGATCTATATTCTAAACCTATTCCATTCTGCTTGGTAATAAAGAAAGGATTCAATATCTTATTAGATACCTGCAGCTTACAATGTTAGTCGAATTAAATAATTAAACATTTGCAGATAGATTGTCTTTCATTTTCATATTTTAATTAATCAATTTTTATCAATGAAAATTGATTGAAAAACTTCATGATTCACAAATTATTTCTCTAGGTTCTTCAATGAGGAGTATTTTGTAACTCCAAGCTTTATTTGCTGAAGAACATGGCAAAACAGTTTAGACAAATTTTGCTCTCCATAACAAAGATGTCATAGCCACATTCGCGCTTTCTACCATTCTCTCCCTGTCCTCTTTTATTAAGCGTTCTGCATTTTTATTTTTGATTGCTCTTTTGTAAGCTGAATTTAATCTCATATTTTTTGCTTTCAGGAGTGTGCGATAAACTTACCTCCACTTGGTGCACCCTGGGCAAAGCATACCCATTCGGCAAAATAGTCTATAACTAGGCAGTTGACGTCTGACTCTAAGCTACCATGACCCCATCATATGTCATATTCGACCCCTACCACAGTACTCACCTTTCCTTTTCCCAATCTTTGTGTTTGTCTGTCTTTTTTACATCTGTGAGTCGCTCTTCTGTTTTTGCTCTCCTAACTTTTTCTCACTTTGATGTTCCTCCTCCCCTCTGTAGAGCCCGAAGTCAGCTAAAGGGCTAATAATAATCAACAAAACGCCTGCCATTTGATATAAATAAATATATACTTGGTATTCATAGCTACTCTAGTAGTTTTGGGTGGCAATCGCTATTTTTTGCAACTAAAACGCTAATTCTGATTGACATCAAGAGTATTTTTGCTACTTTGTCTTCCCCACAACGTACGTGATCTCTATTCACTAGAAACAATAAGAATGCTAAATATTCCTGACATAAATCCCAGCCAGTCTAGGTTTTAATTACCGGTTACAAAAAAAGCTGTAATAACGGGCTCTCCAACCTATCGATTGGGCAAATCGATTTTCCAAGTAACAAACAGGGCTCCACTATTCAGGGTTATCGTTGGTCCACTGTTTCAGTCTAATGCAAAAATATAACATGAAGGAGTTTAAATGTTGCTAATATGACTACTCACTTTTCACTCAAACCGTATATAACATCATCAACCAAAAATACCCGTTAATTTTGGAGCTTAAAATCACTCAGGTATATTAACTCACAATATTACTTATCTTCCAAGGCATATAAACGATGTTGGCATGGTGACCCACGGAATATCCGAAACTGCTGTGCTTCACAATGAAAATCTTAAAATATTTTGAGCGTTTGGTTTTGTAGTATTTGCCTTTATGTAAGCTGTTTTTGGTTGTTATAATTGAAGAATATTTACCATTGGTTTGTATTCACTCTTCCCCACTAATTCTGGGAATTGGAGAACTATCAGTTCAGAGGCTTAGTTCTTGGGCTTTTATCACTCTACCACAAAGTAGGATATTTTTGTTCTCCTGCTTATCTTTTGAGAACTAAATGTTTTAAAGACTCTGGAGATTAATTTTTTTGTTTTGATAAAGCATTATGGGGATGGAACCCTTTGTTTTAATTAGGAAATGTTAAAAGGAGAATATTTAATTGAGTAATTAATTCACTTGAGATAAATTATTGGTAATCTTTTACGCGAATTAAAATAATGCAAATGGTAGGAGGTCCAAACGAGTACTTCCGCTGCCTTCCAATTCAATTATATCTCCCATGCATTGGACTATCGATATTTTTGGATTCCTACACCGACACCCCGAATTTAAGGCAAGCTATAGAAGAGTCGCCAATGCAATTATTCGTTACCCAGATAATCAATCATTTTTCATCTATTCATATATATATATATATGCCAATTTATTTTGCCAATCAAATCCACCGTTTGAGCAATTAGTCTTCTCTTTCTTCAGTCTGAATGTCATTAATAAAGACCTATTGAGGAGTTATAAAAGAAAAAAAATCAGATTTGGTTGATAAAATTTCAGCGTCTTCATTAATTGGATTAATATAATGATAGTAATATATGTTCTTTTTATATGGTCCTAGGCTCATGGAAGACAACAATGGCTTACTCAGCAATAATCAATAATTCCAAAGTGCAAAGTCACGTTTATATATTTACCTGCTTGGGGTGTGCGATAGACTTAGCTCCACGTGGTGCACCCTAGGCAACGTATACTCATACGACAAAAAAGTCTATTAACCGGCAGTTGACTTCTCACTTCAAACTACTATGGCCCGACTGCTTGTCATATTCGACTCCTTTAACAGTACTCGTCTTACAGTTTTCTCCACTTCTGTGCTTGTCTGCCTCTTTTGCATCTGTGAATCGCTCTTCTGTTCCCAACCCTTCTGCCTCTTTTGCTTACCTTTTCCTCTACCTTTGTGTCTATCTGCCTCTTTTAATCTGTGAATCGCTCTTCTGTTCTCCACCCCTCGACTTTCTTCTATGAATCGCTCTTCTGTTCCCCACCCCTCGACTTTCTGCTATTTATCGCTCTTCTGTTCCCCACCCCTCGACTTTCTGCTACTTCCTTCTGTTCCCCACCCTTCGACTTTCTGCTACTTTGATGAGCTTCTCTTCCCCACCCCTCGACTTTCTGCTACTCTGATTAATCTTCCCTCTGTGAAGCCTGAAGTCAGCTAAATGGCTAATGATAACTATCAAAACGCCTCCTGATAACTATCAAAACGCCTGTCATTTCTGCTTCTTTGATGAATCTTCCCTCTGTGAAGCCTGAAGTCAGCTAAATGGCTAATGATAGCTATCAAAACGCCTGCCAATTGAAATAAATATTTACCTGCTTTGTTTAACTGTGTCTTAGACGACTTTGGACCAGGGCTTAACAGTGAATGAATGAGTGCGAATCTGTGTTCATTAAATCTGCCAAGACAGACATTTTTCTACAGTCAAAGGTATTTAAAAAGAAGCCGAAATGAGCTCCCTCACGAAATTCAAACCAAATTGGTCACAAAGGGTGAAGAACCCTTTCATGTGGAGTGTACAACAATGCTCGTTTGTGCGGTAACCACGATAATCTCACATTTATTTATTTATTTGTGTCAAATGGCAGGCTTTATGATAATTACCATTAGATCTTTAGTTGACTACGGGCTTCACCGAGGGGAGGAGGAACATCAAAGTGGGGAAAAGTCGAGAAAGGCGGATGTAAAAGAGACGGACACAGAGGTGGGGAAATGGTGGAAGTGGTCGAATCTATTTATTTTTTTCCCTTTAGTTGACTTCGGGCTCCACAGAAGGGAGGAACATTAGAGTGAGAAGAATTCGACAGGGGAAAAGAAGAGCGATTCACAGTTGTAAAAGACAGACGGACACAAAGGCAGAGAAAAGGCTAGATTAGTATTGTGAAGGGGTCGAATATGGCATACAGTGGGGTCATGGTAGTTTGAAGTCAGAGGTCAACTGCCAGTTAATAGACTTTTCTGCCGTATGAGGTGCCAGGGTGCACCTCCAGTCTCACATAAGCACTTCGAAAACGCTCCACTCAGCTGTTACAAATGCTTGAAATTTATTATGATTTTTTTCCCAAATGCGTGGGTCCACCTTTCCAACAAATGGAGACAGGGCTTAATTGTTCACTCATGAATCTACTTTCTCACAAACTTAAATGATTGCAATATCTACGATCCATGGATTATGGGGTCACCCCTTCATTGAAGGAGAGTTGGAAGAGGGGCAAGGGTTCGAATGTACCTATAAGATTCAATTAAT